ATACCGAATTCGCTGTGTCTATCACCCACTGCAGGTCCACAAGACAGCCTGCAGCCGAATGGCCTCAACATTGCTTGAGGACCAGGGACTGTGGACGTCCTAAAGCTTTAATTAATGATCTACCCGCCCTGAAGAAAACCATCCGTTTTGAAAGGCTTCTTCCCGGAGACAGAAGGGCTGAAGGGGGGGGAGCTTGGGGCTGAGAACAGGCCACCAAAGATAACATCAAGCTCCTTGATGCCTGTAACAAGGGCCTGGATGTTAATAAGATCGCCTAAGCGTATCCCTGGAGCGGAGGGAACCTTGTGCTGGGAGTAGAACATGAACTTATGATTATCTGGAGGCCCGAATTCAAACTTTTTTGGGTGCCCGTGGCTGTGTACAGTTGAAGGACCACAACAGGAGACATCAATCCTTCGCCCAAGGATCCTCCAAAGAAAACAGTTGACGGAAGAAGGGAGACCGAAAAAGAGTCGGAAACAGAGCTTTCTTTGAGGCTCTGGAGAAAACCTGAATAGTTTCCCCTGCACTCTTCCTTTGGAGTAGTATGCTCGGATGCGGCTTTTTACTAAGTCTTCCTAAAATCCTCAGGGTAGTACTTTCTTCATTTAACCTGTTTAGGTTAAGGTAGTCAGTTAAACCTGCAACATGCAGAAGCAGCTTCAATATTTAGCGCTCAATTAGAGCAGGCACGTTGTTGCCTAATTCAAAAAATGGGTGTCCAGGGTAAATCCTGGTAGGCCCATGACGAGCACTTCTTTTCGAAGAGGGACCTAATAAAGACTCGAACTGCATTTATATTTCGAAAAATATAAAGGTATGAATTATGCCAATTTACTAAGAGGACTTAACTGCTATTTTAATAGGACATAAACAGTCACTGAGAGGAAAATTGTTTTTGCTCGTTTCATGCTTATACTTACAGTCCGCAAGAATTTATAGATCTTGTGAGTTTTGTAAATAAAACATATTCCTATGGTTTATTGTGGTGATGTTAACGCCCACCTGTCATGGGGCAGTTCTGATACTAATCCTAGAGGAGAAAAACTCATGGAATTATAATGAATCCAATAACTTGGTCAACAGGGGAATCGCCCCACCTTTGTCAGAGAAGAGAAGAATCATTGACGCTATTAACTTTTCTGATATTTATACCGTATTGAGATTGGCATGTAATGACATCCCTCCGTAGGACCATAGAATTATAAAGGGTGAGGAGAGAGAAATCCAGCTGAATATTTCAGAAACATTAAAAACAAATTGACTATTTTAAGATTTCTGTTTCTAAATGTCATTAACATTCAGTTTTAGACATATTGTACAGTCGAGGACTTGATACTCAAGCAAACAATTTGCAAATATCATATTGAATCTTATCATGCATATGCCCTCTCAAACGAAGGAAAGTACTCTCCTAGCAAAGATTTGGTGGACCAAGGAGCTTGAAAGCTCCGCTAGAGTTCGAGAGCCACAGAAACAGTCAGAATAAACTGAAGTTAACTGGCTACTTCAAAATTCTACAAGGAAATTTAAAAGTGAAATCAAAAAATAAATACAACTCATGGAGTCGTTCTGCACAGTTCGTCCTACCTGAGACTGCCAGAGATATAAGATTCTTAAAAGATCTCAGAGTTCAACTCTCATGGTATGCGACTGATGCAGTTATTATAAACCCTTGGATACCTTTCGCCATGTGAATTTTCATCTGGGGGACAAAAGTGTCACCTCGACCCCCAGGGAATAAAGTGGAACTACTTCATAATCATTAGATCTGGATTTTTTTGCTAAGACAATTGTGAATTTGAAAAGGCAATCGGCCCTTGGGTATTTCTTCCCTTTAAAATCTCCGGGAAGATGGCATTTAAAAAGTATGCTTCAGAAAGCCGGATATTTTTGGTCACATTTCGTGGACAATTCAGTCCAGTTTGAGTTTAGGATATGTTCCTAGTTGGAGAACTTCACGAGTGGTTTCTCTAAACAGGAAAAGATCATATAGAAACCAACTCTTTTAGAATGAGCACACTAACATCCTTCAGCTTAAGCTGTTGGAGCGATTGATTTCTGCACCCCAGTCAGAAAATCTGAAACATTTGGTAGACAACACGTTTAGGCCTGGCTTATCCACTGAGTCGACTACACCACTCGTGTGGAGAATAGAAAAAACAATTATAGAGGACCTTTGCCATGGGATTCTACTGGATTTGTAGGAGCCTGTTTTTCTAACATCGATTCGGAAAACAATAGGCCTTACTGGAAGTCATATCACCCTATGATAACTAGATGGTCATCTTATGATTAAAAACGGATATCGGTTTAGTCTCGCTGATAGGAAGAAAAGAGAGATATTACTAAAGGGGCCGAGGGAATTCGGGGGACTCCAGTCCTGTGGATGTAATCGACCACTCCTGAGTAGCTTCTAAAGGAGAAATTCAGGCAAAGGCTTATGCAGAGACCTTATTGTGTTATTACAGGGTTTCGATATCGGAACCCTACATAATCAAGCTCAGCAGATCTTAAATATAAGTTCACACTGGGGTGATACAATGGCCTTTCTTTATCTGCTGAAAAATCTTAGGTCATAGTTGTCACAGTGGGGAGAGGAAATGGAAACGGGCAGAGGTATATTGGTTACCAATTAACGGGGCGTAAAGGATGTCTTAAATACCTAGGATGTTACTTGGATAGTAACTTCATGGAACCCAGATAAAAGAAAAGCACAACGGCCACAAATGTTCCTAGTAACTTTGTAGGCGAATCGTTGGTACAAGGGGCTACCCCAAAATCTATCTTGGATTTATACTGCCATAGTCGGCCAATGCTTCTACGGATCGTGGTCTGATTAAGTTATAACAAAGCACGTATTTAAACATTTACAAAGGTGCAAAGACTTGTTGCTACTAAGCATTAGTGGGGCTTTAAATAGTACCCCTACTGCTTTCACTTAAGAATTTTACTGCAAATGCCACCCTTGAATTAATTCTTTGAGCGGAGAAGATGATAGATTGATAAAAAGGCATTCCAAGGAAGTTTTTGGAAACAGGCCAATGCAAAGCACATTGACATATGTCCTGGACTTGCAATGAGATCCCTATATCTATATGCCCAAAATCAGATTACTAACAAAGTTTCCAGATAAACCCTATTCTCAACTCATATAACAAAAGGATGAGAATAGAATCTCTAATTGACCTAATTCCAACAGGAATCATTGAATGTTTACACAATGATCAAAATCCACTTCACTGGAGCTGGAGTCTATTATAAGGACCAAGGGATCTGAAGAAGATTTCATCAATTCTATTTCCAGAAATACCTTGGAAAAAGGACTGGGGGAACCGAGTTTATAGCGACATAGGCCGCCAGGAGATCTAGCTAAAAATCAGTTGGAAGTATAGATAGATTCTCTCTGAGGCATCAGCCATCCTTGACCTGGCTAGTTGTCAAGTTACAAACTGTGTTTTGAACTGTACTCAAGATCTAATTCTCTGACTCAGCCCCAAATTACCCATTGTTTAGTCTGGTCCCAGGTCCTGTGATTGGCTGGAAATGAACTAGCTGATAAGTGCTAAAGATCTCGCAACTAACCCATGTTGGCCCAGAACCTTTACCGGTTTCATACACGGTTCAAAAGAAGTAAGAGAAGCTGGAATAAAGAACAACATGATGATAATGGTCCACTACTGCTGCCATTCTAAATTGGTGCCAGTACACTTAACTTTCAGGTAAAACTCATACACCTCAGAGAACTAACTTACCAGGTAATTCAGATTGTTACTGGACATGCTTATCTAACTACATCTCCACAAATGTGGTCTTGTCGAATCTCCTCTCTGCCCAGCTTGTGGAGAAGAAGAGGAAACACCTTTTCACTTTCTGGACGATGTCCGGTGTTCTCTGTCCCTAGAAACAATTCCTTGGGTCTCCCTATATTACCTTTGATCAAGCCCTTTTATACACAGGGCTCTCTGGCATAATAGGGTTTCTGATGTATACTAAACACCTACAGGTAAGGTGAATATGAAACCACAAGAAAACAAGCATTGAGACGCCCTATGAGTTCTTTTTTTTTTTTTTTTTTTTTGAAAAGAACCTATGCAGGGATTTCCCTCTCATAGCTGGGTTTTGGAATATATTTGAAAACAGATATCCAAATCTTTACACTACCTGGCCATTTGGCTTGAGAATGCACCTCTGCCCTCCTCATTATTTATTTGTTTTGACTCTCCATCGCCTTTTTTTGGTCAAGAATTTGCGTTTGGTGGTTTGGGAGGGATTGAATCGGTTTTCATCCAATAGGGAATTTTCACGATCCAGCGACACTTGAACTTAGAGATAGGATTTTGCTGATACTATAGATTTGGTGTCAGTTTGGGATCTTATATATTTATTTATTACTTACCTTTGATGGGAGTTACCATTTAAATCCCTTGATTTAAATGATCAAATGGCGGAAGAGTATTGGGCAATTTTGCCTAAACTCCTTTCCTTCTTTTCATAAGAAGGAAGCGCCCCTATTGTTATGTTATGTTATACGTTATTTCATGATTCGACACATACTTCTAACGGCAGTGCTGCCAGATGCAAGAAAACAAATTTGTTCCAGATGATGACTGCTGATATAAACTAAATTCATAGGCTACTGATAATTTTGGGCTTGTCTTATAAGAAAGATATATGATAAAACTATAACACTTTGATGAAAATTTATATCTCATCTTATCTGAAGATCATCTGATTTACAGAAATACATGGTAATTGTTTTTCGTAAAAATTGTTGGTAGAATGTGCTCTTAAAAAATAATCATACAGTCGGATATAAAGTGATAACCTACTGCATACATCTCCATCACACCTTTACTGTGATATATATTCACATCTTAGCTCAATTCTCTAAGCCCTTAAAATATCTGCAATTAATTTGTTGATATGAGAAACTTAAAGAAAATTACATATTTCTTGAAATTTTAATGTACAAAGCTCAAACAAATTATATTAGACTATTAGAAAATTTGTAATTTTTAATGGTGAGCAGTAATACAATATAATACTAAAACAAAACTTTGCAGTAAGTGCAGATAAATAACAAGTAACAAGAAATGTGTAGAATTGTTTATTGATCACAGCCTTATAAATATAAGTTCAATATTTACTATCTTCACTTTTCTAGTCTGCATATTGGATTGGAATTCACCATATTCAGATTGACTCTGTGACCTACAAGTTCTCGAATATTGTCAATTTTGTATTTAATCATAGTAGGTCTGAAAGAAAATATTTTTTTTAGAAATTATAAAAAACAAACAAGAGCTAATGCATACATTTTATACAAATGCATTCAAATAAAGAAATACTATAAAGCATTCTGAAAAGGTGGCTATAGGGTTTATTTACTGAAATATGAAATACTGACCCTAAACATATACGAGGCGTATTAGGAAACTAAGTACCGTTTTGAAAAAAAAAAGTAAAACAATTTTTTCGAATCCAATTTTATTTTTACATGAAAATACGTGTCTTAAACTATTTTTCAACATAGTTTCCGCCAATGATCAAACACTTGTCATAGCGGGTGACCAGTTTTTGTATACCATCGTGAAAGAAACTTCCCGCCAGTTTCGATAACCACGACTCCACCGCATTTTTCGTGTCATCGTCAGATCCAAAGCGCTTGCCACCAAGCTCGTGTTTCATGTGCAGGAACAAGAGATAGTCGGGCGACGCCAAGTCCGGGCTGTACGGTGGATGATCGAACTGCTCCCAATAAAACTGTCGAATTAACGATTGAGTGACACCAGCAGTATGGGGCCGAGCATTGGCATGGAGCAACACAATTCCTTTTAGAGCATTCCTCTTCGTTTGTTTTGAATGGCACGCCTTAGTTTTGTTAAAGTTTCACAATATCGTGCCGCATTAAGGGGAGTTAAAATCCCAAAATCTTCAAAAAACTGTGATTTCGATTTTTGCATTTTCAAATTCTCTACACTTTTATCTTCTAAAATACATTCTTTAATCTCTATGAAATTAGAACTGTAAAAAAACTAGTTTCATTGTAATCTATTGCTTTGATCAATGAGGATTTTTACATAAAAATGCGCTTTTCTCCAAACGTGATTTTTTTATAATCGATGTACCTTTTCTCAGGAACTACTGCTCACAGGTATCTAAACTTTTTATGGCTTATTATTAGGTTCTCTAATATTACTGAAATGAGCATGTTGTAATAAATTAGAAACAAATTTTTTAGATTTTATTTGTGAGAAAGTGCTAAATTTTACATGCCTAAAAAATACCTGCAATTTACTCTAAAATTCAAACGTTTCAAAGCTCATTTCAGTATAATTAGATAGGTATACTTTAAATACGCAAAAATTTCAAGCTGAATCTACGCAGATTTTGAGAAAAGGTACATCGAAAATGGCAATTTAACATTGTCGGTATAGAGGTTTTGATACCTTAATGGTTTCACCTCTGGGAAGAAATTCATAAGCAAAAAGCCTCTCCTATCCCAGAAGACAGTGCACATGATTTTTTGTGATGATTTGTCAATTTGAACTTTTGTTTTTTCGGAGAATGAGTGTCTAAACTCCATTGATTGTGTTTCAATTCTGGTGTGAAAGACACACCCAAGTTTCATCACCTGTACAATTTGGTTTAAAAAGTTTTCTCCCTCATCACTGTACGCAAGAAATGTCAGGGCATACCAAGTCATTTGTTTTGTGAACTCAGTAGCATTTGGAACCATGGGATCACAGTTTGCGATAATTCAAGCGGTCAGAACAATTTCGAACAAAAACAGCAGTGAAATTTGTGGAAATGCCTCGAAGATTGTCATTGTGAGAGTCTATTCTCATATTGCTTCATCAACTTTCCTTACCAAATCATGGGTGACAACAGATGGCCGACCACTCCGAGCCTCGGCGTGGACATTTGTCGACCTGCATTAAACAACCTCACCCCACTTTTCACCTTCGATCACTATCGCGTTTCACCGAAACTTCGTCACTTGACGATAAATTTCCGCCAGTTAACATTTCCTCGCATTCAAAAATTTAATCACGGCACGAATCTCACAGTCAGTGGGAGGAGAACTAATTGTCTTAAACATTTGAATGTGCACAGCAAACTGAAACCCACAAGATAGAGCAACCAAAGCGACAATTGAAAGTCAGTGAACAAGAAAGACTAGTGCGCATGCGTGGGATGCCTACCACAGCGCTGGGACGGCGCTTGAATGAAACGGTACTTAGTTTCCGAATACGCTACGTACTTTTAACTACAAAATTATTTTTAATGAAGTGACAAATTTTATGAAAACAAAATCATGAATGTATTGGAAGGTTTGTACAGATGGAAATTAAATTTTTTTCAACAATTCATTAAGCAATAACTAGTTAAAATTTATATACAAATTTCATCAACATATGGTTAATCAAATTCTCCACGAAAAAAGTGTAAAGCCAGATATCAGTTTAATGAAAAATGGTGTTTTAGCTAGCATAAAATTATTAAACTTCCTTTAAAAAAGGAGGAGGAAATTATGTTTCCTAAAACCTGAATTTAAGGAAAAGAAGAAGTGAGGATGAGCAAGGAAAAATCTAGTCAGTTAATTTGTTCTTTAGTACATTTGTGAGCTTTGCCTTTTAACACATTCGATGGCAAAATAGGTATATGAAAATTCCTCAGGAACTGACTAACATGAAAACAATATGTGGGCATACACTTTATCTCGTGCTATCATGTGATTACTTATTAGACAGATAAACACCTGCAGGTGATCGGCAGTGAACATATTAAAGTAACGGTCTTCAACCTGTGGCACACCAGGCCTTTTCAATAAGTTAAAAATGATATTATCAATGCAACTGTCTCAAATTCTTTGCTTTTCTTTAATTTTCTCCATATAGAAGTTTGCGAGATGTTTGGTATTTATTCTCACTCAATTCTACTCTTGTTGAGGGTCAATATATATTTTAAGCACCTCACCACATTGACCTTTTTGACTAAAACACAAAAGAAACTACACTTGAGGTCCTTCTCCTACATTCATATGCATCTTGTTGAAAAGTGTGGTGGAAGGAGATAAAAAATGAACGGACTTCTGTTTCTCTCAATGCTGCAATCAGTTGGCAAAGAAACAGATGAATGCAAGCATTGTGAATGGTTGGTAATCAGCAGGGTTTGTATAGTTGATTTAAGCTACATTACTCATTCTCGCAGATTCTGAAATTCTAAAGAATTTTTGATGTTCGAATGAATACACGCAATGGTAAGCTGTAATTAAAAAAAAGAAAGAAAGAAAGAAAAGAAAAGTAGAAGAAAAAGTGCAATTTTTTTCAAGACAAGTGGTTATCTCTGCACCTTTTCATTGAGCACAAGAGTAAAATAGTTTGCCTTATTTTCAAAGATAGTGTAGCAGCGATGAAAGAATACAACATCAAACTGCATTATGATATTAAGCACAGTGCAAAATATTCTGCACTGGAAGCACAGTTTTTTGAAGTGATAAAGTCAGTGAATTCAAATCAAAGCTAAATTGTCACCAGTCCTTTTTTATTCAAAGCAAATAATGAGTCAGAAAAAAGTGTTCATGTCAGGGGCACGATAGGAAAAAATGGTAAACATGGAATTTCTATTTCCTAAACATGGAAAATCCTTTTTTATGGAAAGTTTCTGAAAGAATGTATTCAGTGAGCAGTTGATGTGCTTTGACCATCACAGATTCAAGATATCTCAACAATAAGTGACAATATCTCAACAATAGTGAGACAGGTGGAGGATCTCACAGCAGATACATTCAATAATTTAAAATCCAAATGCATTGATTTTATGTTTTATTATGTAATGATGGATGAATCAACAGATGTAACAGATACTGCACGAGCAACCATTTTTATTCACATGTAAACAGAAACTTAATGACTGTAGAGGAATTAGATAGTGTCATTACACATAAAGGTACACAGGGATCAGGTTCATATTTAAATGTGATAAAAACTTGGACAAAATGTGACTTGAGCAATATATCTGCTGTAGCTATAGATGGTGTCCTTCTGTAAGCTGACAGAAAACATGAGCAATAACTGTACTCAAATCAGATGCAAAGGCATTTGGAAATAGTATTATAATGGCTCTTCACCTTATCATCCACCATGAAAATTTGCACAAATTCTTCTCAAACTTTGAATATGTGATGACTGTTGTTATAAAAGTGGTGAATTTTATCTGGTCCAAAGGATGTAATAACAGGCAATTTCAACAGCTCTTCAGTGATACAGCAGTTGAGCATAGTGAAATTTTGTATTATGCAGATAAACGTTGCTTAAGCTGAGGAGAGATGCTTCAGTGCCTGCTTTCTTGCAGGATAAAGTTCAGCAGTTCAAAGAATCTAAAGTAAAATCCATTTGCGAGTTCCATGATGAGAAGTGGTTAACAGATTTTGGATTTCTTGTTGATATTACTAGTTACCTCAATGATCTGAACTACTGCTTACTGGGAAAAGATCTATTTGCTCAAAATTTGTATGTCTCTGTGAAAGCTTTACAGACAAAATTAATACTATGGGAAAGTCAATTGCTAAATAAAAATACCATTCACTTTTCAAAACTGATAGAGTTGGTGAATAAAATTGCAACATGGAATTTGGAAAATAATGTACAGTGAATTTCAAATCCACAAGTGGATTTCAAAAGCAGATTTTCCAACTTCTATAAGAATGTTCCATTGCCCCCCCCAAAAAAAATTTATTGCTCCGTCTGAACTTAATCAGAATTTGTAGATTTGCAACATGACTGCAGTAAAACGCATTTCCTGAAAATTAATTGATTTTTATTCAAAGCATATGCCTTAAGAAAAGTATGCAGAAGTATATAAACATGCAATGTTCATGTCTTCTAATTTTGGCAATACCTACGTATGTGAACAGTTGTTAAGTGAAATAAAGAATACAAAATCAAAAACAAGAACAGATCTGGCAGATCAACATTTGGAGGATACTTTATGAATCCCAACAATACAGATTCTACTGGATATCAAAACTTTAATAAAGCAAAAACAATGCCAGATTTCTCATTAAGATTGAAGTAACTTTCATCTTGCCAATAAGTATTTTAATACCAATGAATTTTATGGGTCCGTGACATTTAGCCGACAACCACTTAACCGACACCAGTTAGCCGACAGGACATTTAGCTGACAAGACATTTAGCGGAGAAGGACACTTAGCCGACAAGACATTTAGCGGAGAAGGACACTTAGCCGACAC